GGAGTTTTCATAAAGACTTTTGAATATGTTTATAACATGGTCCCAACGTTCCATGTCCCGATCTTAGTAGTGTTTTTTGCATTGAGGATCGGACATTTCCGAAACAAGACTTCCTTTCGGCTTTGATCCTGCCTCTTCATGTTGCTATCACTTGCCACGTGTGCAACTGACATGCTGTCTTCCCCTCTTTGCTTATGTTTACCAGAATGGCTACTTCTCGTTGTTTCTTTAGCAATATTGGATAACGACGTGGAGTTGCTAGCACCACGGTCGTCCCTCCTCCTTTCTCAAACGGCCTTGGGGCCGCTACGGCGGAGTTCACTGAAGAAGTACTGGGTAGAAGAAGAGGAACCAATAGAGAAAAGTGGATAAGTGATGGTACGTGGACGGTGATTGGTGAAAGGAAAAGGGTCAAGCAACTGAGAGAAGCAGCAACTAGACAGGATTACGGTGACTTAGCTGAGCGATGTAACCAACTAGATAGAGAAATGAAAAGGAGGTGTAAGAATGATACGAATCAATGGATTGAAGATAAAAGGAATGAAGCGCAGGAAGCTGCAGATAGAGGTGATAGTAAAACTGTATATAAGATAACAATAGAGCTTACATCTGGTTTTAAAAGTAGTGGAGGTGTACCTATTAAAGCGAAAAATGGCACGAGACTGACTACGGAAAGACAACAACTGGAAAGGTGGAAAGAACATTTTAATGAAGTCCTGAACCAATGTGAACCTGATATTTTGTTAGACTTATCTAATGAAAATGTCAGAGCAATTTTGAACGTAAACCTAAATGACATATCTCTAGAAGAAGGTAGAAGAGCGTTGCAAAATCTGAAAAACAACAAAGCAGCAGGGTCAGATGAGTTGCAGCCTGAATTACTGAAGAACGGAGGTCAACCGTTGGAACTGGAGTTATTAAATATTTTTAACAAGATTTGGAGACAGGAAACTATTCCATCAGAATGGGGTCAGGGTGTGATTGTCACTATTCCGAAAAAAGAAGAACTAAGTGATTGTAACAACTGGAGAGGAATTTTTTTACTATCAATACCTGGTAAAGCTTTTTGTTATATATTATTAGAAAGGTTGAAAGATGAAGTGGACGCCTTATTAAGGGAAGAACAGGCTGGATTCAGAAACGGAAGATCATGCACTGAACAGATATTTACCTTACGAAACATCATAGAATAAACTTTAGAATTTAAAGGTCAAATGAACTTAAACTTTATCAGTTTCCGTAAAGCCTTTGATAGTGTCCATCCAGAAACGTTGTGGAAAATTGTTGGACTATATGGTGTACCAGAAAAAATATCCAGACTGGGAAAACCCAGCAAGTAATTCGAGAGATGAAACATACGTATTAGTAATATCAAAAAGTCTACTTGACACAATGTGAAAAACCTTTGGCGGTTCAATGGATGCACGTGATGGTAA